TCGCTCGGTTCACACCATTGTCTCAGAAAATGTCTAAAATCTTGCCCTGTGCCCGCATTGACCTTTGACCTGGGTGACCTCCAATTTCCGGCACATGACTGGCTTTTCCTACCTATGCTATACACCGACGTTCACGAGCCTAGGTCGAGCGCGTTTAGATTTGTGCACCGCCAATTCTGCATTTCTCCGCTATAGCCTTAAGTTTAAGGCAGGAATGTCCCCCTTCTTTTACACGCTTTGACCTTTGGACCTTTGCACCCACGCTTCGACATCCAACTCATTTTCGGATTACCCCCCCCGTCCCCTAATATGGCGTGACCCGTACGTCGAGCCGTTTAGATTTGTGGCCCACTGTTGACGGACGGCCGACGCTCACGGACGGACGGACGATTCATGCGTTATTTTTCTGACAAGCTGCATCTGACTATGTCAGATACGAAAAGAACAGCAAATGAGTGAGTGAGAAGACTCAGTTGTAATTGAGCCAACATCGACGAACATTATAAGAACGAAGAGTATATATGGGAGAACTCCCATTATATACTCTTGATAATTATGTGTAATTTTTTTATGTGAAAATAAATGTTTTGAGATGTGAGTCTGAGATGTGGGCGAGTGATGGCTTACACCTAAATGATCGCCATTTTAACGTTTTTTATATATTCAGATTTAGGCCTGCCTAAAAGCGAAGCTCGGCGATGTGTAACGTGTAAGATTGAGATGATACGCTTATTCACGTAGGCTCTATATACCACGTGACAATGGTGTTTCCCTGCCATAACAAACTTTTGTCAAAGGTTAATTGGTTGCATGGAAGTGTTTACTTGTATTGAGTTTTTCTAGCGGTAGCACACGGTTGCCATCTGTATATCGCATAATAATTTATAAACCAAAATGAATCACAATTGTGACGGTAGATGGCCGCTATACCGCTTGATGTTTCTTACGATGTCGTTCGAATAAATTAGGTTATGCTGCGTTCCGACATGTTTGTAAAACTTTACTCTAAATATAGACGTTTTATCGCAGGGTGGAGTGGAATACACAATTTTGCATTAAAGATATTGTCAGAAAATCTTGTAAAACGACCAGACGAGTGGTGACACCACAGAGCTTATCTGCATACCACATGTCTATAAATAGATATGCTATATAATTTCCAAACCTACCTATTTGCATATTTTTTTTTAAATATCAAAACCCTTAGCCCTTATTCATTCACATACCAAAAATGAGCAAAATCGTTGAACCTGAACTGACTAATGGCAATTCCATTTTTGCAAAAATTGCCCGTGGCTCGAAAGTACGTCGACTGGCGTGCTCCAAAATAGGACGTTCAATATGGGAGCATAGCAGTAACAACTATACCCAATTTTCAAACCTGTGGCGTAAACGGTTCCTAAGTTCTCGTTGACGGCGTAGCTAAATTTGA